CAGGGAGGGGACACAGAAACAAGAGGCCACAATTGGAAGTTGAAGACACAAATGAGTCAGAGAGATAGCAGGAAGTATTTCTTCAGTCATAGAGTTGTAAGGCAGTGGAATAGCCTAGAAAATGACGTAGTGGAGGCAGGAACCATACACAGTTTTAAGACGAGGTTTGATAAAGCTCATGGAGCGGGGAGAGAGAGGGTCTAGTAGCAACCGGTGAAGAGGCGGGGCCAGGAGCTAGGACTCGACCCCTGCAACCACAAATAGGTGAGTACAAATAGGTGAGTACACATACACACACACACGCACACACAGACACAGACACACACACACACACACACACACACACACATACACACACACATACACACACACATACACACACACACATACACACACACACGCACACACAGACACAGACAGGCACACACACACACACACACCACACACACACACACACACATACACACACACACACACACACACACACACACACACACACACACACACACACACGCACACAGACACACACACACACACACACACGCACACACACACGCACACACAGACACACACACAAACACACACACACACACACACACACACACACACACACACACACACACACACAACACACACACACACACACACACGCACACACAGACACACACACACACACACACACACACACACACACACACACACACACACACACACACACACACACACACACACACACACACACACACACACACACACAGGAGCTAGGACTCGACCCTTGCAACCTCAACTAGGTAGAGTACACATACACATTCACTGTTGCTGACACATCCCTTTTAAATTTAACATATTTAGGAGTTAAAAGTCACAATTAGGTGGCTGAAACAATACACCAAAACTCTGCACTTAGGAGAGGAACGTCATGACGACGTTTCGCTCCCTCCTGGACCATCGTTGTGACTCGACAAAGTCCCAGGATCGAAACCCTGACGAAGATCTTAAGTGAGTCTTCCCGGTGCGACTTGTTAGAGAGAATTTCTTTCTTCCACACCGTGTGTAATTACCTGAGTTTCTCAGGCTTATATACGAGGTTGGTCAGGTGATGGTTCGACACTGGTGCTCCGTCCTCGAGGGTAGCCTCAGTGCGAAATGAGAAGTCACTTGCTGTTGGCCTCGTTCGTGTGCATCCGTGAGCTCCCATCTATTGGTTTTATAGTGTAAAAAAAAGATGATTTCTATATCGATTTTTTTATGATTTTTTTTTACGATCGTGAATCTTGTTATAAACCTGACGTAAATATTTTTATAGTTATTTCATGGATTTTTTTTTTTGGAAAACCTTTCAAACTTTCTTGGCTAAAAAAGAAAGGCTTTAATTCTATTTTTTTATTTATCTCAGCTTTTCCGTACCTCATCTTTATCTATCTCAGCTTTTATCTCACCTACCTCACCCCACAGTCCATAAAAGTCCCTCAGCTGAGGGACTGTTTACCTCATCTTTTGTATACAGTTCTACTGTCATCTAATTATGTCCTTGAATTTGTACTGATAAAGCCACTGGATGGCGAAACGTCTACAATAAAGATACCCAGATGTTGCACATGTGTTTAATTCTACCACTAGGAATAACAGGTGCAATAAGGCTTGTCTAATTGTATTAACGCTACCCGATTTGAACCTGTGACTTTTCGCTCATTGTTGCATCTGTTCACTCAAGTCACATTCACGCTGGTGTTGGAATTCGTCCGTGAAAAACTGCATTTGTGGTCACAGTCGCGGCCCATGCTAACCTTCCTCCGGTGTACTGAAATATACTTAGTTGCATAAATCTTAGAGCCAACTGGCCCAGTGGTTAACGCACTGGCCTGTGAGTTTTCGCACTCACTTGCAGCGGGTTCAAGCCTCACCCGGTCGGTGACTTGTTGCGTCATCCTGAGGATAAGCGCAGTTTGCTTGGAGGATCATTCTCCCCCCGATGGCTGCATCAGTTGGGATGTGAAGGGCCTCTAGTGTTTGTAGTTTAGTGATTCTATCGTTCAGTATGTCTGTTATTCAGTGATATCTGTTGCCACTGCAGTGGTATCTGTTGTCAATGCAGTGATATCTGTTATTAAGTGATGTCTGTTGTCACTGCAGTGATATCTGTTAAGTGATGTCTGTTGTCACTGCAGTGATATCTGTTAAGTGATATCTGTTTTCCCTTCAATGATATCTGTCGTTCAGTGACGTCTGTTGTCAATGCACTGATATCTATTATTCAGTAACGTCTGTTGTCACTGCAGCTGTTTGCTGATATTATCATCACAACCTTCCACTTACCTCTGCTGAGTGGATATACTGTTTGTCTGTGTCTATTCCAGGACTCTCTTCGTATTCCAGGACTCTCATCATATTGTAGGACTCGCTTCATATTCAGGACTCTCTTCATATTCCAGGACTCTCTTCATATTCCAGGACTCTCTTCATATTCCAGGACTCTTCATATTCTAGGACTCTCTTCATATTCCAAGGCTCTCTTCATATTCCAGGACTCTTCATATTCTAGGACTCTCTTCATATTCCAGGACTCTCTTCATATTCCGGGACTCTCATCATATTCTAGGACTCGCTTCATATTCCAGGACTCACTTCATATTCCAGGACTCTCTTCATATCCCAGGACTCTCTTCATATTCCAGGACTCTCTTCATATTCCAGGACTTTCTTTATATTCCAGGACACTCTTCATATTCCAGGACTCTCTTCATATTCCAGGACTCTCTTCATATTCCAGGACTTTCTTTATATTCCAGGACTCTCTTCATATTCCAGGACTCTCTTCACATTCCAGGACTCTCTTCATATGCCGCCAATAAAAAGTAGGGGCGCCATTGGTACACTAAGAGAAAACACCATAAGTGTCCGGGGCCCAAGACTGTTTAACAGCCTCCCATCAAGCATTAGGGGAATTGCCAATAAACCCCTGGCTGCCTTCAAGAGAGAGCTGGACAGATACCTAAAGTCAGTGCCGGATCAGCCGGGCTGTGGCTCGTACGTCGGACTGCGTGCGGCCAGCAGTAACAGCCTAGTTGATCAGGCCCTGATCCATCGGGAGGCCTGGTCATGGACCGGGCCGCGGGGGCGTTGATCCCCGGAATAACCTCCAGGTAACCTCCAGGTATATTCCAGGACTCTTCATATTCCAGGACTTTCTTTATATTCCAGGACTCTCTTCATATTCCAGGACTCTCTTCATATTCCAGGACTTTCTTTATATTCCAGGACTCACTTCATATTCTAGGACTCTCTTCATACATATCCCAGGACTCTCTTCATATTCCAGGACTCACTTCATATTCCAGGACTCTCCTCATATTCCAGGACTCTCTTCATATTCCAGGACTCTTCATATTCCAGGACTTTCTTTATATTCCAGGACACTCTTCATATTCCAGGACTCACTTCATATTCCAGGACTCTCCTCATATTCCAGGACTCTCCTCATATTCCAGGACTCTCTTCATATTCCAGGACTCTCGTGCAGGCCAGTCTCTGAGTCTCCTTCGCTTGTATTACTTCACATTCGCTGATGTTGATCTTGAGAGAGAGGTCAATAAGAATAAATTTGCGACTGGAAAAAAGGATTAAGTGGGAAAAATGTTGTCTTTAAAGGGTCCCATAAATCTTAGAGAAGTCAACCAGAATAAATCTGTGACTGGAAGGGTACTACGTGGGAGAAATGTTATTAGTAAAGGAACTCATCATACTGCATTTTGTGTTTCCATCGTGACGGTGGGCAGAGGAAGGCTGGATTTGAAAAAGACCTTCCGGAAATGCTTTTTAAAAATGCAAGCGTACACTACAGCGGCTGAATATTATGTACACAAAGATGTACAATGACGTCTTTGTACATAGATGTCTTTACTGACGAGTATGTACACAGATGCCTGCACTACCGTGTCTATACACAGTAGAATGCACTGGCGTGTACGTACACAAACATATACACTTGAGTCTTTGTACGACAGGTGATAACTTTCGTCTTGAGTGCGAGTACATGACATTTAAGTACTTCCTTGTTTGCTCTTGTGTGTGTGTGTGTGTGTGTGTGTGTGTGGTGTGTGTGTGTGTGTGTGTGTGTGTGTGTGTGTGTGTGTGTGTGTGTTTGCTAATGAACGAGCCAGAATGAGAACCTCTTCTTCCTTCCTTCCCTCCTTCCTTCTCTCCTCCATTCACCTTCCCCTCCCTCCTCCCCATCCCCCCAACTGATCCCTCCCCTCCCTCCCTCCTCCCCCCAAATGACCCCTCCCCACCTCCTTGTCAACCGTGACAAGAGTGCCGTTAAACATATACAAACATCCTTTAAGAAGCGCTAGGCCTCAGCAAGGTAATGCGTCACCTGGGAACAGGATATAACCAGGTTTGATTCGAGGAAAGGGAAGGACAGAGTCAGTTCCTCGGATCAAGAACCCTTCATCAGGATCTTGATACTAGTCTAAAACTGCTCGAAACATCATCTAAAGTTTCCTCTCCAAAGTGAGGCCTTTTTTTTCTGAATTATTCCAGCCGCAATATTGTGATTTTTTTACTAACCCACTGATTAATTTATCTTAAAGAATAAAAAAGGCACAATACAGTGACTGGAATAATACACAAATAACCCACATATAGGAGATAGAAACCTCTGACGACGTTTCGGTCGGACTCGAACCGTTAACTGTGTAACTACTTAATGGTCCACGTCCGACCGAAATGTCGTTTTAATTCCTCTTGTTAATACCTATACGTTTCTGTACCGAAAGTATAAATGTCACTGTTTAGTCTAGGAAGGAGACCTGTGAAGCGAGTCTTAACACATTCTCTTGTTTGTCAAGAATAAGACAGTTGAATGTAATTATAAATGTCATCTGACGTGTACTGTGCTTGGTGTTTTATTCGTCAGGAAACGTCACGGTGTCTCCTGCCCTAACTACCTCCCAAACACCAAAAGAAAATTATTCACTGGATGAATCCAAAGTCAGCTGTGTGGTAGCACTGGACATTGCTGGCGCTTTCGACCGGGTGTGGCACCAGGGCCTCTTAGCAAAACTTCAAGCACTGGGAATTGCAGGCTCTACGCTATGTCTCCTCAGTGATTACCTTCATGGTAGATCTCTAAGTGTAGTCCTCAATGGAACGGAATCAGCAAGGCATCCTATTGGGGCAAGCGTTCCACAAGGAAGTGTGCTGGGTCCACTGTTATGGAATGTCTACTTCAACGACCTTCTTCATCTCATCCCAGAATCACATGCATATGCAGACGACTGTACACTGACATTCATTTATCCAAGAGAAGAAATGCCAGCTGCTCTAAGCTACATCAATCACCAGCTGAGAGCTATATCAGCTTGGGGAAATAGATGGCAAGTAACATTTGCACCTGAGAAAACGCAAATGATGATCGTCTCTAGGCACCATGATGGTAATGCTGGTGCAGTAGTAAGGATGAATGGGACGATGTTGGCACCTGGAGAAGAAGCTGATATCCTTGGGGTGAAATTTGACTCCAAACTAACCATGAAGAACCATGTTGTAAATCTTGCAAACAAGGCAGCCAGGAAGCTACAGCACTTCGCCGTATCTCGCATCTGCTTGACAGTAGGGGTTGCAAGATCCTGTACGAGGCACAAGTACGCTCACACCTTGAGTATGCTCACTTTCTTGGTTGCCTGCCCCCCTCTCATCTGCGACTGCTTGACAGAGTAGAGAACAGAGCAAGACGTCTCATCTCTCGCCTGGACCCATCCTGGATAGATCTGTCATTTCAGCAGAGCCTTCAACATAGGAGGGATGGGGGGTTGGCCTTACTGTTATGTACAAGGCCAATATTGTCAAAATACCACACTTGGATCCACTTCGAGGACAGCGTGAAACAAGCTTTTATGCCACAGACGGGCAGAAAGCAGCAACTTCACTCTGGCTGTACCCTTCTCCAGCAACATCACTCCATCCCGAGATCTTACATACCCAGGATAGATCGAGTTAGTAAAACACATTCGTACAGCATAAGAGTCAACGAGATAACGTCAGTTGATCAAATGAAAATGCTGGTCCACAGATGGCTCCAACTTCATCCTGTTTCCCTACCTTGTATGTCTCATAACATAAAAATGCTTTCAAATGAGCTGATGTAGGTTAACAGCTCTTACTTGTCAATAAGTTAGGAATCCATACCTGTAAATACTGTCAATCAAAGCTAGGATCCTTAACCTTGTCAAACCCGTGAAAAAAAAAAAAAAAAAAAAAAAAAAGAGAAGAGAGATAGGAGATAGAAGAAGAGAGTAGGAGGAGAGAGAGAGAGAGGCAATGGACTGGGAAGTTAATAAACGCAAGCAGCAGTGAACACAAGGGCACTTTATGGTACTAAATGCCTACCCATATGCTTTTACTGTAATGGGCACCACCTGTTATACAGCTGCCACATGATTGAACTAACCACAGTTCAACACTTTATAAACCCCATATCATTCCTGCTTTTATTGATCTGCAGAAAGTCGACGTTCGTAAATCTCCCTTTACTATTAAACCTTTAGATTATTAAATGTTAGTGGTTGTAGAACCTGCTGAACCGGAGACTAAATGATTGTAGCTAAATCTGAATTGGGGTACTGGAGTTTTTTTTTTCTTAATTTGCCAGTGTCACCGGTCCAATAAGACACACAACACACACATGACTTACACTAATGACCCACACACACACACACACACACAACACAACCACACAACACCTACACACATCACATAGTCAGTAAGTGCATTAGTTTGTGGAGCGATGTAGGGAGCAGGAACCTACATAGCTTTAAGCATGAGTATGATAAAGCTCACGGTCAGGGAAGGTGACCTAGTAGCGAATCAGTGTAAGAGGCGGGGCGCAATGTGGGTTCGGACTCGTATCCTTCTAACCTCAACTAGTTAGTCACAATACAGTGAGCTAACACAAACACACACACACACACACACACACACACACTAAAAAATTAAGCTTACTAAATTCTTCAGCATACAGAACAAGGAGTACTCAGTCGCCTTGTTCATGACACACTAGTCACGTTCTGTGACACATGACTTACGGTGGAAGGATTCTCTCCTGTTTCCCAATGTTAACTACAAAGGATATATTACAGTAATAAGAACTATGAAGAAAAACAAAAGAAAACAAAGACAAATATTTAATGAATATGCTAAGAAATATACAAAATTTACCTCTTTTGTGTTCATGAGCCGAATTTTTTTTTTTTACCAATATACGTGCCAGAGTGCAAAACGTTTACCAGGCTTCCGCTTCACGCTCGTATGGCGGTAGTAACTCCCCGGATATCTGCTATCTGCAGGCAAGAAACAACGTCTTCAACTTCGAAACCCTTGGAACCCCCAACCATCGTTGCCCATCACTCCCAGAGAAGCCAACATGAAGTCAAGCCGCGAACACGGAGCCTCTTCCCACCCCTGCAACGCTAACTTCTACCTTCTATAAATAAGGAGCTAAGGCGACAATACTGGCTCGGGAGTTTGTGCCTATTGATTCCCCCGACGACATTGTGAGGTGATCCCACCTTGACTTCCTTGATAATTCTTGCCAGATGACTCCCGAAGGAACGGTGTGCGGGTGAGTGGACTGGCTGTGACGATAACACTGTGCGAAGGAAGAGTAACACTGTGGGGAGGGGGAGTGGGAGTGGGTGGTCAGGCCGTGGCAATAACACTGTGGGAAGGAAGTACAGCACTGTAGGAAGGAGGTATAACACTGTAGGAAGGCGGTATAACACTGTAGGAAGGCGGTATAACACTGTAGGAAGGCGGTATAACACTGTGGGAAGGCGGTATAACACTGTAGGAAGGAGGTATAACACTGTAGGAAGGAGGTATAACACTGTAGGAAGGAGGTAAAACACTGTGGGAAGGAGGTATAATACTGTTCGAAGGAGGTATAACACCGTAGGAAGGAGGTATAACACTGTAGGAAGGAGGTATAACACTGTGGGAAGGAGGTAAAACACTGTAGGAAGGAGGTATAACACTGTAGGAAGGAGGTATAACACTGTAGGAAGGC